CCAGCAGGGCAGGGCAGTTGGGAGGGACCAGACCTGCAAGGGAGGGCAGTTGAGGAGGACTCAGGCCTGTAGGGGAGAGCAGTTAGAGGGGACCAGGCCTGCAGGGTAGGGCAGTTTGGGATGACCAGGCCTGCAGGGGAGGGTAGTTAGGGGCAATCAGGCTGGCAGGGGAGCAGTTAGGCAACAATCATGCTGGCAGAGGAGTGGTTAGGGGGTGATCAGACTGGTAGACAGAAGCAGTTAGGGGCAATCAAGAAGGCAGGCAGGCGAACATTTGGGAGCCAGCAGTACTGGATTGTGAGAGGGATGTCCCAGATTGGAGAGGGTGCGGGCTGGGCTGACGAACACACACACACACACACACACACACACACACACACACACCGTGCATGAATTTCCTGCACCAGGCCTTTAGTGTAAAATAATGTTCATAGCACCTTTCATCATAATAGTCAATGTCCTTCAACAGCAAAATAGAAATCAAATACTACACACATACACTACTGCTACAGTGTATGATGGATAGTCCAAAGCTCTGACAACAGGTCTTGAACTTAATTCGAGGTGTACTATTTACCATGTAATACTAAATATGTAGCTATGAGTGTTTACCCTCATTGAGTCTGCTTTCTTCATCTGAAAAAGAGGGTCATATCATCTCTCTTAAATATTACCCTAAGGATTAGATATAATGTACCTATAACACAAAGCACTATGACTAACAGCTTCTCAAAAATTCCTATAGAATTTAGGAAATATAATTTACACCACTTTGGATCAATCAACCCCTTTTATACATAAACTCCCCTCCTGTAAAATAAATTTGTACTATTGCTGAGTTGCCAACTCAGGCATCAGTGAAATGAAACTATACAAGAACTGGGTCATGGCCTTTTCTTCTTCAGCTACTTTATGAATCCCATATGCAACTGCAGCTGTCAGCTCTCATGCCAGGAGATCAAATGAACCGGAGAGATTAAACAAATGGGCAGGAGAAATGCCAAAATGTGTGTAACTGCTGGACGGGAGTCCAATTGGTTCAATCCTCAGAACACTATGTGCACTGTATACACGCTCTGAAGAGCAGCATATGCAGCGCAGGACGCCCGAAATACAAAAGCAAGGAAATGGGGGTGGCAACAACAAGAACAACAACAACAAAAAAAAACACTGCAGTTTTCAGCCTAATTCTGCGTCTCCTTTAGTCCTATACGTATATCTGTTCATATGTGTCATTAGAGAATAAAACATATAGGTCCTGTAATAAATCTCACTTTGACTAATTTTAAAGTTACAATGAAAATCAGGTGAAACGATCACTTCTCAGTGTAACACATTTTCAATGAAATTTTACTTGATTTACAAAGAAAAGTCAGGATACGAAGTTGCATTGCCATCTAAAGTAGCAAGGGGAGGACAGAGGCAGGGCAAAGAAAAAAATAAATACACTGTCATCTTGAAATCAGATTTGATGACCCAAAATAACAATTGAAGAATGAGGCTCTGGACTTCCATAGTTTGATTTCCCTACCGATTCCTCCCCCGTGAAAACTGATCTTCATGCCTTTAGAGGCGGTAACTCAAAGTACACTCGGTTCCACTCATCCCACCAGAAAGGTCAGCCCTCCACGAGAGTGCAAGTCTGTAAAGCAGGTGCTCTATACGATGGGAATGAGGAACAAGCTTTTCCTTCTTCCTGTGACTGAATTATTGGGAGAATCTCAGGCCATTCTAACCTAGTGACTAAAGGAAAACTTTTGCCAAAGCCTTGTGAATTTGCTTTTCCGGCACCAGTGTTTTCAGAGCCCACGCTGGATTTACCTTACCGTATTTTCCGGCGTATAAGACGACTTTTGAAACTAAAAAAAGTCAACCGAAAATCGGGGGCAAAAGACCAAAATTGCACAAAAATTACCTGCAGATCTTGACGGCAAAGTAAGTCTTTTCTTGGAAGTGGGGGGTAGTCTTATACAGCGAATATAGGCCTAAACCTATGTTTTAACTGTAAAATTAGGGGGTCATCTTATACACCCTAATTATGGGTCTATGCATGGGACTAGTTTTCCTTCCACATGAGGCTTTTGGCCTAGAAGAACCTGCCCTACTTAGGGAAGTCCTCTTGCAATGTCCCTCAGTGATCTAGTTACAAAAATCCAGTTCCAGTTTGTCTCTATGAAGAAAACAATGTAACTCACATTTTCAAAAGCTAGGATATAGGTATCTGCCACATAGAAGTAAAAGTTTTTAAAAAAATAAGTAAGTTTAAACAAACATGGCATTCAACAGGTTTGCTTAAAATCCTAATTCAATGGTTGTTCTTAAAATCCTAGGGTCAGGCTATTAATCTCTTAAACCAAGAATAAATTACAATGGAATTTTTTTCTCCCCTGATATAGGTTTTAAAAATGGTGATGTGTCTTGGCAAGACTGATGCTACAGTGCACAGGGTGAAAGGAGCAGGTTCTGTCCCCATACTCCACGCTCTACTCCTCCTCTGGCCTGAGCCCAGGCCATCCATAACAAAGCTCCAGAACCTACTGGCAGTTTCTAGGAACCTACTGGCAATCTCCAGGAATATTATAACCACCTTACCGAAGAGCCCCAGAAAATCAATCCTTTTATATTGCATAGACCCCAAGCCGTGGAGGAAGAAATTGAAAGGGGATTAGGAAGAATCACATTAAACATTGCTGGTAGCAATCACTCAGTGACAGTGGAAATAGTAGCAGATGAAGATTTGGGGTTCTTTCCCGAATCTTAGAGAAGAATCCATATAGTAATGGTTTGGATGTTAGTTTTCACCTTTGCATGGGATGTTGGTGCATACGACACTGTAAAACTATGTCAGAAACAATACAATCTCATTTACTTAACCCTTATGTTTAATAATATTGGGCCCAAAGGAGAACTGATTGCTAAAGCACCACATTAAGACTAAAACTCTTGAAATGCCTAAGAATCATGGACACAAGATTGAAAATTAAGGTGGAAAATTCTTTGCTGCATTGCTACAAATGGATTCATCCCTAGAGATTTAGATCTGGGTGGACAGATCTGGGAATGCAAAGTGTGATAAGCACCAGGGACACAAACAATAGGGTGGTGAAGGCCTGGGGCAGTGGGCTAGAGGGATCAGTGGGGGAGGGTGGGAAGGGTGTAATATGTTCAACAATAAAGATTTAATTTTAAATAAATAAATAAATAAATAAATAAATAAATAAATAAAAATAAAACAAACTGTGATCAACTACAGCCCTAACTCAAAACCAATCAGTTACAGGAATAAACCTAAACCGACCTATACTATGTGGTAAAACAGGAAGAGTCCAAAGTTCACCTAGGCCACATGTGAAAAGAAAATCACTGCCTTGTGAAACTACGGGAGTACAGCATGACATGAAAAACTGTGGTCTGAAACAGTTATACGCTGTGCCTGAACCAAAGCCTGCACTACCTTGATGTCAGCTGTAGTAAAACAAGTGATGGGATGGAGACTTTTGCTGATGTACCGAAAAGCAACACTATTCTGGCAGCAAAGGATCTATTCCTTTCACAGAATAGAAAATGCTGGGGCAAAGAATCCCGGTGAAACTGGCTTCACACAACAGGAGTCTTACAGTGCTGTCAATAGTTGGCAGCAACATAGAGGGAGAGGGCTTGTGCTTTCCCAACCAATGAAAACAAATCCCACACTCTCTACTACCTACGTCAGGGGCGACAGATGTGATGAGACTACAGATGTGGCATATTCATACTTCATTCAAATGACCTGTCTAAAGCTAGACAATACCAATATGGAGCCATTTGTAGGCGTGCAGAAGCCTGCAACAGCCATGAAAAATAATCTCTAAAAAATGTGCACACATCTATCCTCTACCTTCACAGAGAATAATATTTCATTGCCTATTAAATTTCTTTCATAAACTAGAACAAGTTACTTTTGACAAAAAGTGTAAAAGATATGAATGTATTAAACTTTGTATAACTATCCATTAAAAAATAAAGAAAATGGTGGTGTTCTCAGTTATTTATAATCTAAAATCTTGAAATTTTTAAATGTCTAACAATAGAGGACATGCTAACTAAAATAAAGTACTACTTTGGCTGTCACTCATCTATTAAATGTTTAGTAAAATGAAATAATTTAATGTTATGTGAGAAAAAGAAAGCATGATTTAAAAAAAAAAAATCCATATACAATATAACCACAACTTTCAAAACAAACATATACAAAGATAAAACACACACACACACACACACACACACACACACACACACATCAAAATGTTGTCAATAGTCATACCGGATGTTTAGTTTCTTTCTCTTTACTGCCCAACAAAAGTTTGTTTAAAAATGGTTTCTTGAACAAAGACATTTACCTAACATGGTTTTTCAGTTACATATAAAAGACCAGTAAAAGCACGATGATAAAAAGATCTAGTGAAGTCAACTAGACTTCCTATTCTAATTTCAAGAAATCCTCACTTGTGCATTACCGATGTACATTGCTAGTGTTTTAGAAGTAGAGGGGATTTTATTCCCAAACAATTGGTGATTGAGAGATTAATAAGTTCTAAAAAACTGGCTGAAGTAGAGCTCTTGTATGTCAGCAACAGAAACAAGAAATAGAAATAAGAAATAGGAGAGAAGTTGTAGTAAAAAGTCTCACTTAAGAAAGGTTAACAGTAATTGCACTTAAAGCCCAGCTCACTCTCTCTACTGTCAGGAAAGAAAGCTGTGCGAGAAATCCACAGGGCGTGTACATGAACCATAAAACTAAGAAAAAGAACAGCTTCGGGCTACAACCACAACATAAAACCACTCAAAAACAAGAGCCATAATAATTTCTCAGGAATGATACCAATTACTTATCATTTAGTAGTAAACAAAAAGGCAAATGCCAGTTATTTCACCTGCTCATTATATATTTCGTATTCTCAAAGTTTCAAATGGTAACCGGAGAGATTGCAGAAATGAAAATTGCAAATAACAATACTCACAGCCCCCCATAGGAGATTCCTTTTAAACATCCAGCAGCGCCTTTTACTCTTCTGATTAATCATTATTTCCTGCTTGCGGAGGAATTTTCTGGATATGTGATTTTCGAGTAAAATCTATAGGCATTCTGCATCAGACACCCACACGACTTCTGTTCGACGAGGTAAAGAACTAACTAATGGGAAGTGCACAGCTAGGTTTCATAACTTTATTTCTAGCAGTGATGGAGCCTCAAGGAACTACGCAAGCAATGCATTTCAAAATCCCACGAAGGTATTTCAAAACGTAGTGAGAAAGCGCTGGAATACTGTGGTGGAATGGGAAGCATGGCGCCAACTATAGGTGACTTGATGGTAGTTACAGCCTTCAGATGTTTAACAAAATATCATTCAAAATTTCAGTGTTAAAGGATCTTTTTATATATACATACATATATTATATATGTATATATAAATATTAAACATTGCTGGTGGTAATCACTCGATGACAGTGGGAATAGTAACAGATGAAGATTTTGGGGTTCTTTACAGAATTTTAGAGAAGAATCCATATATTAATGGTTTGGATGATAGCTTTCACCTTTGTATGGGATGTTGATGCATACGACACTGTAAAACTATGTCAGAAAAAAATACAATCTCATTTACTTAACCCTTATGTTTATATTAAACATATATATTATATATATTAAATATTATATATTATATATTAAACACATATATAATATATAATATTTAATATATTATAAATATATATTTATACAAATATATATAAATATCTCTATATATTAAACATATATATATATATATATATATAGAGAGAGAGAGAGAGAGAGGGAAAGAGAGAGAGAGAGAAAGAGATTTCAGAGAGGAAGGGAGAGAAAAAGAGAGATAAAACATCAACGATGAGAGAGAATCACTTATCATGCACACCCCACATTGGGGATTGAGCCTGCAACCCAGTAATGTGCCAAGACCAGTAATGAAACTGTGACCTCCTGGTTTATAGGTCTACACTGAGCCACACTGGGTGGACTGTTAAAGGATCTTAGGATTTATTTTTTTTCATGGTGATTAGATAGTCAACAGAATAATGAAACTATGTTTAAGCTTTCCATTTCCCCCAAAGCAAGCAGGCTTCTATTTCCTTCCCAGGACACCTAGCTATCCCAAAAAACTTCATGAAAACATATCAGGATTTTAAAGAAGACACCAATGAGCAAATTTCTCATCATTGTCATGTTTACGATTTAAAGTAAAGGTTTTTGTTAATACAGTAGGTCCTTGGGTTACACGGGAGATCCATTCCTACAGTGCTCGAGATAAGAGCCCACCTACATAAGCACCTACATCACTCACATGGAGCACATACACAGCAGTAATGAAGTGAAACAGTAAAAAAAAAAATTTTTTTAAAAGATAATTCCTGACTTTTATTGTGGTAAATAAATAATAAAAAAAACAAAGCACATATGTACATACGTCAAAATGATGGAACTTTTTTTTATAAATAAATGGGAGATGGCAATGTATGTTGATTCCAACCTAACCCAAGGACTGTCTGTATATCACATTATATAGACTTCTCAAAACACCTAAATGTTTATCATCATGTGGACTGAACATTTATGTAATAATTCAAATTCTGATTTTCCTTTTAAGTGACATATAAATGTTGTAGTCAAAATCGAACTATCAAACCTGGACTCAGTTCAACTTAGCAATATTACTTCTTTTAATTACCGAAAGAATAACAAACTAACAATAGTAGACTACCTTAAAGCACTTGAGGAAACTTCAATGGGTAAAATTAAATAAACATTTAATGTAGCTTCCAACAAGTGGGAGAATGGAAGACACTACTTGGGGAAACACACACTAAAATCATCAAGTCTTAGAATTTTGAAATCCTCCCAGGGTATGAGTAAGAAAACTGAGGCGGAGAGTGTTTAGACATAGCTATGTTGCTATTAATAGACAAGCCATTTTAGATCTTCTGATAGATTTTTTTTTTCAGTGCAATTTCCATAAAATATAGGTACATATATTATATTTTGGGCAGTTTTATAACTTTATTCGCCATACAGCAGTTCACTCTTCTCCACAGTAACTGCTTGTAGATTTTTTTTTAAGTGGTGACAGGTATGTAGGTAACCAATGAATAGAGCTTGTTTGGTGAATCTTCATCTTCATTCCATGTTCTGGACAACTGCATCCAGATAAGTATGGGGCATTCCTTACTCCTTTGGCCCAGACAGCTTTCTTGAGCCCGGTGTCGATGAATATGTTTGAAGTTCCCATCTTCTTTATGATAAATTTCTGAATCTCTCTGAGTGCCCGAGGGGCACGCTTCTTGAAACCCACTCCATGGATACACCTGTGAATGTTGATGGTGTGCTCTCGGGTCAATACCTAGTTGATGGCAGAGAACAGCCCTTGTACTCTTCTTTGTGGGAGCCATTATGTCGGGCCCACGTCTCGGAAAGGAAGGGAGTTATCTTTCTAAGTTAGCTCTTTCTTAAATATGCTGTCATCCAGCCTATTTTCATGAGAGTGAGTAACCCATCTTGAGTAACCATCGCTTGCTCTAAATGAAAGCTATCAGAAGCATTAAAAGCCAATCTCTACGAAGTAAAGGATACAGTAAGGAAACATGGCATGTTCCCATAAGCGCTAATGCCTTCCAAATGTCATTCATCCAAGCGCCATGCCCAGCCAGCTCTGCAGAGGGCTGGGTGTCCTCTGCAGTCAGAGCGGGCTTTGCACCGGAAGCGTTGGTGTCTATGCTCAGGCATGAGTGATGAAGTCAAAGGAGGATGTCAGCACTTTTGGTTCCCCCTCTCCAGCTCGGGGATGCAGCAGGAAACTTCAAACTGACCACATGCCAGTGAACTATTTGCCAAAACTCGAACGGCCCCACTCTGCTACAGTGCACCAGGACTGGCAGGGTCTTAATGTGGTTCTTGACCTCTTTTGTTTCTGTGTGGTAGCAGTGTAGTGGGCCAAGAAAATGCTTAGGGAATAGAGTTTCTGATTATCTGACACTGTACATTGTAGATTTTCATGTATCTTCATAAATCTTTTCACTGTTCATTCGTATGTTATGTGACTATAACTGCAGGAACAATGCTTTTTAATTTATTTTTTAGTTGGCTGCTTACATTTTGGTTTCCTGGATTTTATAAACACATATTTATTCCTCTTGGCCTTAAATCAAGTGACTTTGATCAGTCACACACAGGTGTTTAGTTTAAATCTGAGAATGGCTTTAGGAATCATGATATCGACCAATGTGTTACAAAGATATGTAACCCTCCTCACCCCCCCCAAAAAAATTATGTGGCTAAAAAGAAATCTTCATAAAAAGAAAGTAAACAAAGCTATCTTCTCCAAACACCACCATCATTTTATTCCCTATCTCAATAAAATTAATAGTGTTATCTGTCATTACACCTGCATACTAAACTTATTATGTGCCCTTTTCTCATAACAGCCCTGACAAAGTGGTATTATTTGTTCCATTTACATAGATGGTGAAATTGAGATCTAAAGTTAAATAACTTTGCCAGAGAAGTAAATAGCAGAATTGCAATTCAAACCCTGGACTGTTTAACTGCAAAACCAATTCTCTAAAATGGAAAATCTGCTTATTCTCCCAAAGTTTTCTCAAAAATATTAAGCTGGGATGCAAAAATAAAAACGTTTAACCTATATCTGAGTTTTCTTGCTTTTATCACCAAATTCAAAACCTAAAACTGGTCAACTTCCTCTTTTTATATCATATGACTCTTTTCATAACTAAATTCCTCAAAACTTTGTAAGTAATTCATTTGTAAGCAAATAGTTTTACACATAACCTAATTTGGTAGGATCATTTTTAGAATAACTTAAGATTTCACCCGAGCAATAATCAGTTTTATTTTAATTCGCTTACTGGTCATGAGAACAAGAAGAGTAAATGTGTCACTTCCTCAAGGTCACTTTTCGCCAAAAATAGAACTCTGGTGTAAGGTCTGGTTGCTAAACCACGCTTCCCCTGCAATGGTAAGCTGCCATTGGTAAGCTGGTCACTAAGAAACAGAAAAGAAGAAGAAAAAGATGGGATATGTAAAGTATGTTCCTACTGTTATCTCTTTCTCATACTTGACCATCCCCTCTATTTTGCTCATTTCCCATACCGTGGGTTGCCCATTTTCCATCCTGTAGATTCTATATTACAATTATGGGAAGAAACTGCATGGCCTTGGCAGATAAGGAAAAAACCTTACTCCTATTTCAAATATGAAACAAATGTTTCATTTTCTTTTCTGATTAAAATACGGGATTTTAGCCCAGCTGGCGTGGCTCAGTGGTTGAGCACTGAACTATGAACCAGGAGGTCATAGTTTGATTCCCAGTCAGGGCACATGCTTGGGTTGTGGGCTCGTTCCCCTAGTAGGGGGCATGCAGGAGACAGCTGATCAATGATTCTCTCTCATCACTGATGTTTCTATTTCTTCCTTCCTCTTGAAAATCAATAAAAAAATATATTTATATTTTTTAATATATGGGATATAGCCTCAAAAATTAAGATTCTTTTTAAAATTGTCTTGTTAAATTAATTTCTTCTATTAAAAATGCTTTTCATTGATTCCCAGAGGAAGGAGAGAGAAAGAGACATTGATGTGAGAGACATTGATGTGAACTTCACTTGGTTGGTTGTCTCCTCTATGTTTCTAAACCTGCAATCTAGGTATGTACCCTGATTGGGAATCGAACAGAAGAGATGTTGGTGTACAAGACAAGGCTCCAATCAACTGAGCCACCTGGCCAGGTCTCTTCTATTTAAATTTTCTTAATACATATTATTATCTCTTGATTTATAAATTTAAGGCAGTTCACTAAGACATGTGTAGGTACCTGCACATAGAGTATTCGGCAGATGTCTAAAGCAGCTCACCTACAGGCTGAGGGTGCTGTTTCCCCTCAGGCTCTAGCAGTACTGCCAGCTGACCCTTCTGCAGTGGAAAAAAA